ATACATGTAGTCAAACAACTTAGATTAAAAAAAACTGTTGTGTTCTAGAAAAAAGGGTTCTAATGGTCAAAGATGTCGATGATAAAGAGTCTGAATGCTCAAGAAAATGAGAGTAAAAAAGAAAAAAGTATTTTAAAAAAATCACTGCATATTTAGGGAACGGCTAGTATAACAGTAAAAGCACTAAAATGGGAATCAGGAAACTTGAGTTCTGGTCCAGCACTTGTCATTAAAGTGCAACCTATACAAGTCACTTTATTACTGTGAATTTCACTCAATTTCATTATAAATTACAGATATTAGTTCTAAAGTTCATTTCTAGATTCAAAGTTCTGTAATTTAAAAGATATGAAAAAAGTGGCCTTTAAGAGACCATAAAAAAATGGTTATGATATTTAGAATATCATCCAGTGACCGAACGGCAGAATGACCAGAATGACTGGTCGACCAGTCACTATGACATGCACTGGTCAGACACTCAACACGGAGCTGTCCCTTGGTGGTCAGTGCACTCCCACAGTCAGAGCACCGCTCACCTGACTGGGATGAGCGGCGCTCCCACAGCAGGCCAATCCCCGCTGGACATGCCCCCACCAGTGCATGAACCCGTGCACTGGACCTCTAGTTGAAAAATAATAACCATTTAACCTTGCTGGTACTAGGTGTTCTTTATTTCAATTCTGACTTTCTGCTTGCCAGATTGTTTTTCCCTTTTTTGATTAAGCAAATACATTTTACCATCAACAAAATCTATTAGCTTTACAAGCAATCAGTCCTTATATTATTCTTATAAAACAATCTTGAGGTTTTCAAAGAACTGCTAAGTAACAAAATTAATAATAATGGATATAAGAGCATATCAGATGTTACTGATTATCTCAAACCAAACTGCTCTTAACATATTCTCAAACACGTCACTTAAATACTTGTAAATCTCCCCTGCTAGTTTAAAAATTGGGCACTGTTCCCTAAAAAAATTATAATTCTTTTACACTGAACCAAAGATTAAGGTCTAACAGTGTCCTTTCTAATACTCAGGATTCATTCCCCTGACATAACTCATTTATTTTCTCCCATTTTGTAATAATCATAAATTGACCCCAAAATTTTGAAATGTAATATAATTACGACAAGACAAAATTTTAAACTTTAAAGGGGTAATTCTGAAAAAAATAATTTTACTCTTTGACATTAAAAAAAAAAAAGCTAATTTATTCACCTGGCCAGCGTGGCTCAGCAGTTGAGCATCGACCTATGAACCAGGTCATGGTTTGAGTCCCAGTCGGGGGACATGCCCAGGTTGTGGGCTCAATAAAGAGAATTCATTCAAGATCTGAAGAGAAAATATACCTCATATCTACAATAGCGTACACTGCTTATAAAAATTCATTCTTTATCTTGGCAGCTATCTTAAAAAGTCAGGTAAATAAACATGAATCTTTTTTAAAGAGGCCTTCCCCGTGCCTTATATAGTACAGCAAACCAAAAAAAAAATCCTCAGCTATCAAGTTACTCAGCCTGTGTTAAGTGGCAGGGATATTTCTGAATTTATTTATATTACCTTTGGTATTTGTCCCTAACTCCAGCCAACTTTTAACTTTCCTTATCTTAATCTTCATTCAAGGTAATATACAATTTAGCTATTCATAAAACAAACAGAAATTTATGGAAACAAAATGGTTCCATAACTGTAGATATGTCCAATAGGAAGACCCCACAATTACAAAATCTTCAATTATGAAAATTTTTAAATGTGAAGCAATATTAAATTGGAGAGTTAGTCTCCATTTATAAATGAAGTCAGTATCTTTTCTTTAAATAGCGCCTAGCACACTGACTGGTAACTGGGTAGAAAATATTTATTGAATGAAAAGTGATGTTTTACTAATTTATTTTAAATTACTCCATTCAAAAACTAAAACTCTAATAGACTGAGAAAATCTATAGAAGACTAATGAAATTAGTTGATTACTGGACTACATATAGAGCAAAGTATAAATTACATAGTTTCATATTAATCCCACCACAAATTTAATTGTTTAGCTTTCCGTACTTAAAATCACCCCGGAATCATCAGTATGTAGATTAGAAAACAAGAACCTGAGAGAAACCTTCCTGCTTACAGAGACAACTGACACTGTCATTACTGTCCAGCCCCGTCCCACCCAGGACGTGAATCATCCCTTGGGCCAATGTATACAAACTGCAGATCTACCCACCCGTTAGTCACTTAGTAGCTCTCTGGGTTACCAGATCCACTGTCACGGTAACACAATGCTTGTGTTCAAGTAAACCTTATAGTAGACTACTGTTATGTCACAATGCCATCAGTCTGCCCCAGACAAATAACAAGTATATTTGTAAAGCAAGGGTGACTAAGGGTATGTGGAATCTGAATCACCACGTTTCAGAAGCTAAGAATATTTTAAATAAAAACACAGTTAGTATTTAATATATTAAGTATTATCAAGACAATCAGAGTTACTGTAGTCTTATTGATACACATAGAATTAAGGTACATTTTCAAAAGGCAGCTAATGTGATGGTGTCACTGCATTTTTTGCAATATCATGATGAATCAAGACTGTCTTGAACAGATTAACATTTAGAAGCAATAATGTTTTATGAAAATAAAGCATGGAATTAGTAACTGGAGAATTAAATTTTATTTATATGGACATCTTATGGTATTTTAAAAAGCTTAGTCTTGAGCACAAAGAGATCTTGGCTATTTTAATTGTAAGGACACAATGAGATTATTTATAAGTAGCTCTTATGAAGGGCTAGTGTTTCAGTGGCAGGCATATTCAACTGAGAGTTTTCTTTAGTGTATAGATCAAAAATTACAAGGCAGAGAGCCAGCAGCCACAAGAACAAAGATAATCAACTAATGCCAAATCAATTAAGTCACAATACTAACAAGTATAAGAACCTTGCTATGTAATTACTAGTTATTAAGAAGGAAGACTTCACCCGGCCAGTATGGCTCAATGGTTAAGCATCAGCCCAGGCACCAATAAGTCACCAGTTTGATTCTTGGTCAGGATACATGCCTGGGTTTTGGCTCCATCCCCAGTAGAGGGAGTGCAAGAGGCAGCCAATTGATGTTTCTCTCTCATGATGTTTCTCTCTCTCTTTCTCTCTCTCTCTCTTATATATATATATATATATATTTATTAATTAATTAAAATTGTGGCCCTGGCCAGGTGGCTCAGTTGATTGGAGTATCAGCCATACACCAAACAGTTGCAGGTCAGATTCCTGGTCAAGGTCCATACCTAAGTTGCAGGTTCAATCCCTGGTCAGGGCACTTATGGGAGGCAAGTGATCCATGTTTCTCTTTCTCTCTCTCCCTCTTATTATAAAATCAATTTTTTAAAAACCGTATATCCTCAGGTAAGGATTAAAAAAATAATAAATAAAACTGTGCTCTTTCAACCTTTAGACATACATTATATTTGCTTACTTAGTTCACCATTATGACTATAAAGTTGAAAAAGTTCATCTTGTAATAGATAAGTATATTAAATTAACACTTTAAATTTAGTGAATTTAGAATTTATTTCATTGTTATTTTTTCCAGTCATAGAAATAGAAATTCCAGATAAACAATTCATAAGTTTTATATGTCATGCCATTCTGAGTTATATGACAAATCTCATGCTGTCCAGCCCCGTATCCGTACCACCCAGGACGTGAATCATCCCTTGGCCCAATGTGCCCAAGCTGTAGATCTACACACCCGTTAGTCACTTAGTAGCTCTCTGGGTTACCAGACCCACTGTCACGGTATCACAATGCTTGTGTTCAAGTAACCTTATAGTAGCCTACTGTTATGTCACAATGCCTACGTCATTCACCTCACATCATCTCATCATGTAAGCATTGTATTATCTCACATCATCATCATTAGAAGGGTGAGTATAGTACAATGAGATAGAAAGAAAGAGACCACATTCACATAACTTTTATTATAGTATGTTGTCATAATTATTCTATTTTATTAGTTTTTATTTTTAACCTATTGTGTATAATTTATAAATTAAACTTCACCGTGTGTGTGTGTGTATGAAAAAAAACATAATATGTATAGCATTTGGTACTATCTGTGATTTCAGGCATCCACTGCAGGTCTAGTAATGTATCCCCCATGGAAAAGGTAGGATTACAGTATTATCAAGTGTGGTTCAATCTGGAGTTAGCCTCTAATTCCTCAAATTCTTAATTCTATAGTATTATTTGACAGGAGGTAGCTGCATAACAAGATTATCAAAATTTTCTTACAGCACGGGGGGGGGGGGGGGGGGGGGAAACAAGCAACAAAATTGAAACATACAAAATATTTTTAGTTTCCCTCTCCGACAGTCTAATGATACTAAAAAGGTTAAGGTAAGGTGAATTTAAAGAGCTCCCAAATTAGTAATTCTTAATTAAAAACTTCACAGTTCCTGTGAGATAGTAATTTTTAAAATACCACTGTAGGACAGCAAAATAGGGATGGAAAATCCCAGAATCACATATAAAGTTGTTTTTATCTGAAAGACAGAACCCTAAGAACATTAAATCTTTAAAAAGAAAATTTTACTCACATTTTAAACCTTTTAAGATGCTTTACCTATGCTAAATAAGGACTAGGCATTTTTTCATAAGGCAACAAAAGAAAAATATATATATTTCTCTATCATAAGCATGAGGAGGGGAAGTCAATTAAGTAAGAGCCAAAAATTAACAGTGACAATTTAATATTTTATCTAGAGAAAGAAAATGAAATGACATATTTCCCAATTATGGAATACAATACTACATATTTTAATGTACATACAGGAACAATTATTTCCTGTTAATCTTATGTAGTATAAATATCCTAATCCTATGAGGATTAAAGTCATGGTGTTAATTATTTCTTTATAGGTCATATAATTTTAAAGATCAGATTATTTATATACATCTACTCCATTGACAGGGTCAACTATGTACAATCTCGAGTTTAATGCACTTACAGTTCCTTGTGCTTGTCTTCAGCCAAGATTTGGTCATTTGCTTTAAGAGAATACCTGTAACACAGAACAAAAATATAGTGGTCATATAAACATTCAAGACTTTTGACTAATAGACATCTAATTATAGTACCAATAGTTGACACCTATCAAAAAAGTACTATCACACTGTTATAGATCTCTGTCTTAATCTGTAAAACATAAAAAATGCCCAAGTTCTTTGCTGTTCAATTAGTCACGTCCACACATACCACAAGAATTGAAGAGATCAACTTGACCATGCTTTGACAACACAAGATATCTTCAATATTCTTCTGTAGTGAATCATCTATAATGTTACTGATCTAGCAGGTCAAATTCAAGAAGCCACTACAATGGTAAGTATTTAAGAGTTCATTAAAAATATGCAGTTACTCACCCTGGCTAGTGTGGCTCTGTTGGTTGAACATCGTCTCATGCACCAGGAGGCTGCTGGTTCAATTCCTTGTCAGGGCACATGCCCAGCGTGTGAGCTCAATCCCCTGTAGGGGGTGTGCAGGAGGCAGCTATCAATGTTTCTCTCCCTCTCTCTCTCTCTCTCTCTCTCTTCCTCTCTCTTTAAAAATTCAGTAAAACATGTTTTTAAATATGCAGTTATTCATTCATTAAACACATAGTAACATCTACTGTATGCCAGACTATGTACTAGATATTAAAAATTCAGTAAAACATATTTTTAAATATGCAGTTATTCATTCATTAAACACATAGTAACATCTACTGTATGCCAGACTATGTACTAGATAGTGTGACACAGGAGAAAAAGTAAGTTTTGAAGTTTCTGATTGAACCATTTACTGCCTTAATGACTATAAGCAATTATTTCGCCCCTTTACGTCTCAAATTCCTTATCTATAAACTAGAGGCCCAATGCACAAAATTCGTGCAAGAGTAGGCCCTCCCTACCCCAGCTGACGGCACCAGCTTCCCTCTGGCACCCTGGACCCTGGCTCCCCTCCAACTGTTGGCAGGCTCCCAGCTGACGGCACCGGCTTCCCTCTGGCACCCTGGACCCTGGCTCCCCTCCAACTGTTGGCAGGCACCTGAGACCCGGGCTTCCCTCACAGCCCCAGCTTCAACAGGAAGGTCGTCCGGAAGGACGTCCAGTCTAATTAGAATATTATGCTTTTATTATTATAGATTAGAAGTTGCTATAAATATTAGAACAGGAATCTTGCAAAGTACTGCTGAAGGTAACAGAATTTCTAAGAAGTACGCTACTGAAATAGGTTCAAAAACAATGGACAGCAATTCCCAGGTTCTGAATTTCCACTTGTATTCCATCCTTTCCTAAAACTAATCTACCTGACAATGGATCAGAGGTCCAAGTGGAGTGACCATGTAGACTCTCCTTTCTTGCCTCCCCTTTCACAAGTGCTTTTACCAACTAAATAAAAAGAATATCATATCACTCACCCTGAATAGATCTATATTGCACTGCATATCATGTAAAAATCTCTGAAGTACTAAACTAGGAATGATTCATACTTTGTCCACAAAGCCTTCTTTAATACCACAAACTGACTACAAAGTTCCTGTTTTATACATTATTTCTATAAAAAAAATGAAGCCAGAAATTATAAATGGGGAACTGTGATAGTGTGTTCTATTTGCAGACACATAATGGAATGGGGCAGAAGTTGGTTGCAATTTTATTTAAACAGTTTCTCTCTTTCATCCCATATTCATCACCAGAGAATGTATTACTTTTCAGAAAGAGTCCTGTTAAACAACTGTAAGACAGTTTCCAATAAGAAACAGGAAAGACAAGTGTCACCTTATTTCTTCTAGGAAACAAACTTTAAAAAAAAAAAAAAGGCTCCTTGCTCTTCCATTTATCTATCGAGGATTAAATATCAAAGATGGTTGTCACAGAAACAGAATCAAGCCATTAATTTGAACTGAAAAATGAGGCCAGACCTTTTCTATCATGAAAATAAATCTGATTGGTTTGACAATGAAGAACAATTTTGCCAAAAAGGTTCCAAGGCCTTAAACTGAATGAATAGCTTTAATTAAAACAAATTTAAGGTACTTGATAAAAACATTTTATCCAAAAAAGAATCCTTTTGTCAAAGGCATATTGAAATGACCAATATTTAACTTTTACCATCACCTCCTGAACTGTTAAGGTCAGCATACAACTATAAGAAAAAACCAAGAGACATAATTACTAGTTATTTAAAAAGCCTTAATAAAGCCAATTTTGGTACACTTCCCAGAACTGCATGTCTCTAATGACTCTAATAAATGACCAAGTCAGGTGGTTTCTAATTCTTTGCTTCCAACCTCTAATCTATAATAATAAAAGCATAATATTCTAATTAGACTGGACGTCCTTCCGGACGACCTTCCTGATGAAGCCGGGGCTGTGAGGGAAGCCCGGGTCCCAGGTGCCTGCCAGTGGCCGGAGGGGAGCCCGGGTTCTGGGTGCCTGCCGACGGTTGGAGGGGAACCAGGGTCCAGGGTGCCAGAGGGGAGCCGATGCCGGCAGCTGGGGGAGGGAGGGCCTACTTTGCTTCCAACAAAATTGAAGATGAACCTAATCAAATTACCAGCTGACAAATAAAAATAATTTTTATGATAGAGTTCAAATAATTGAGTGATAAAGCTGAAACAAAAATCTGTCTATTACCCTCCAATTAATTATGTCAACTTTTTTCTCAGCACTTATACCTCTAAATGGAAAAAGGGAAATAAAATGATGCTGAACATTGTCTTATTGCAGTAATGTGTACTATTTATCCACAAAAGGTTAACTAAAAATAATTAAAGATTAGCTTCACCCATGTCATCAAAAGACGCATTTCCAATAACTTCATTTTCTTCTGTTTCATAATTACTTAACAACATTTTAATACATTTATGTTGTTTTACTAACTACATGCTAATTATAATTGAATGACTAGGAGATATTTTTTAAATTCAATCTACATACCTATTTTTAGTGAAGAGCCATGGCAGGGTGATCAATATGCATAAAGGCTTTAATGCATAAAATATATTACTTTCATAATACACTACATGCAAAATATAATTCCTACATAAAAATACATTACATAAGGATAAAATCTGGTGAGGAAAAGCATAACATAAATACAAAGTTAAACAGAAAAAATATAAAATTTTAAATGTTAAAGAAGAGTTTTAACACAGTACAATATACAGATATTATATCATAGAAATCTACACTTGAAACCTATATGATCCTATTAACCAATGTCACCCCAATAATTTAAGCAAGGTTTTGTTAAACTTTAAAAGAAAAGAAAGCTTATTCATGTATTTTTGGAAATGGATGATGATAGGTATCACACCACTATGTTATTTAGAGTCCACTAAAAGAGCGATTTGTCAGTTTTATTTAACATTACAATAAAAAGTAATAATTATTAACTTAATGAGTGAGAAAGTACTTCTTTATCAAAATATTTTTACGTAATACAACAGGAATTCGATCAATATTTCTTTCTTTCTTTAGCTGGCTAGTGAGAAATAGCAAACATGTCTGGCTTAAAGGCCTCACAATTCAGTAAGCAAATCAAAATAAAATAACTGTTCGCAGTGTGATTAAGTTTTCCAAAAAAACTGAAGTATATATTGTTCATACAAAAGAGGAAGTAATAAGTCAGTCAAGAAAAGGATATCTTTTATCTGTTCCCCAACTTTCCCTTCCCCCACAATATCTCCCTTTGTTGCTCCTTCCCCATAAACAGCCTTCCAATTTAAAGTTTCAGGATAAAAAGTTGAAGGGAATAGTGAAGGAGGCTGAACAAAGGGTCCACAGAGGGAAGAAGCAGGCAAGGATAGCCTGATTTTGATCAAATTACCGAAAGGAAGATTTTATTCTCCTAATTCACACAGTACACCTCCAAGTCCTCAACAGTGAATTTCCAAGATACATTTTGAACTATTCTCTAGGCAAATTAGCTCTCTAACCTCAAACAAGCAGTCACTCTTCCTATAGTATTTCTTTCTCTGATCTGATTTCCCCCTACCCCAAACCAGGTAACCTTCCATCAGATCTCAATTACCTTTATTCTTCTTCATCTTTGCTAGGTTTTTCTCAATTTTATTTTCCTTATCTCTACCTTGACTCTTGCCCACATAGAAATCTAGCCTGTATATAAAATGGCAAGGTTTGAGGACACAGTACTCAAGACTGTTCTCACTTCTAACACCAGCTGGAAGTTCAGGTGGTTCCCAAAACCACCCTCGGGTTCAATAATTCACTGGAAGGGCTCACAGAACTCACTGAAAGCTATTAGACTCATGGTTACAGGTTACAAGGAAAGGATACAAATCAAAATCAGCCAAGGGAAGAGACTCATACAGGGAGGGCCGTGTGTGGGACGGTTCCAAATACAAAACTTTCAGGATGCATGACTCTCTTGGCATCAACATGGCATACTGTCGATATGTGATAATATGGCACTGCCAACCAGGGAAGCTCACTGCACTTCAGTCAGTGTCCAGAGTTTTTACTGGAGCTTCATTACCTAAGCATGGTTAATCAATTGATTGCCCAAGTGGTTTAACTAGGTCGCCAGGTGGATTGATACCCTATCACCCAAAGCCTCACCCCAATTCACATAACTGGTCACACTACTGGGTGTGGCCAACCCCTATCCTAAACAAAAAGATGCTTCTACATGGACGATATAGATTACCTCCCAGAAGCCCAAAACAAAGGCAAGATCTTTCTTTGGGCAAGGCCAAATTCTTTACACATGCCTATGTGTATGTTTGTTTGTTCTATATTGCTGCCTTAAAGAATAATATTCTAATTTTTAAAATGGAGTATTGATTTAGTTTGAAAATCAGAAAAAAAGGCACTATTGGAGAGAGGTGATTTATTCTTCCAGGCAATTTAAATACCTTTCCAAAGCTCATACAAATAAACTCCATATTTACAGATGGTTATTTGTAAGGGAATAAAAACTTGATCAAACACCTTTAAAAATGTACACCAGAAATAGTTCACACTTACAATTGTAAAGTTATGCTATAAACTAAAA